GTATGGTCTAATTCAGATGGATGGACAACAAATACACAAACGAATGTAATAATCTGGCCTGGTAATTCATCAACAGTTCCTACCGGATTTGCAGCATTATTGGGTTTAACCTTAAGAATTGCTGTTATCGATTCAGTTCCATTTACAATGATGTCAGAAATACAAGATGCTTCTGGAAACATATCAACAAAACTAATTGGATATATACCAGATCTTATTGACGAACTAAAAAATCGAATGGGTTTTATTCCTAATATTACTTATTTTTCTGCAAGTGCCTCATACGATGATCTAGTTAATTTAGTAGCAAATGGTACTTTTGATTTGTTCATAGGTGATGTAACAATTACTGCAGCAAGAAGAGAAATAGTCGGTTTTTCGAGTACAATATATGATAACTCATTACGTGTCGTTGTAAGAGATGCAGCTAGCGTCAAGTTAGATCTATGGTCATATTTAAAGCCATTTTCTGTTAAACTATGGATAACTATATTAGGTGCTGCTATTTATGCTGGTATCCTGGTATATATATTAGAAGGACGACAAAATGAAGCATTACAAGATCGTTCAATAGTTTCTCTAATTGGAATGAGTATGTGGTATTCTTCCAGTACAATTATGGGTAAAAGTGCAGATTTTCAGACAACGACAGCTCCTGGTCGAATATTGACTGCTAGTTTATATATTTTAAGTTTGATATTAGTTGCTGCATATACTGCCAATTTAGCATCTGACCTCACATTGTCAAAGTCGGCATGTAGTATTTCTGGAATAGATGATATTAAAAATGGAAAAGTTGCATATAGTCGTATTGGTATTCGTGTTGGTTCATCTATTGAAGATTATTATTTAAGAGAAGTTTCTAGTGGTAGTCGAAATTATTATCCAATAACATCAAAAACAAATGTATATAGTGCTCTATTGAATGGTATTATTGATGCGACTATTACTGATGCTGGTACTGCAGAATATATAGTTAATAATATATATTGTAATTTAACTGTGGTTGGTTCCGATTTTGATCAAAGTGCATATGGTATTGCTACTCAGAAAAATTGGTTATATGAACAAGATTTAGATCTAGCTATTTTGTCATTAAGAGAGGCAGGTTTATTTGATAATCTAACAACTAAATGGTTTGAAACAAATATATGTTCTCATTCATCTGATACATCTAGTGCTATGTCAATTGAATCTATGGCTGGATTATTTTTAACTTGTGGAGTTATTAGTATTCTGGCTATATTATTTTTTATATGGAAAAGACGATATCTCGTAAAAAATTATCTCCTTGTACTTTTCTATGAAAAAGACACATTAACTCAACGAAATACTTGATCAGCAAGTGATTCAAGTAATATGTCATCAGAACAGTCTTCACCAGGTGAAGCATCAGCATATCATATATCGTATATGTAATAATATTTAAATGTACATAAATAGTTCGTTAGTAAAAACTCAGTCATCAAATATCAACTATCGATTATATTTGATCATTTTTATGCTTTCACATCGTCATAATTATTTTTGTATTCTTTTTTTTTTAATAAAAAAAACTGTAAGTTAAAGCCATTGAATAATTGATTATAATTATAAATTAAGATCGAATAAGAAGAGATAATCTATAGGAACATAAAAAAAAATATGAACGAGACAACAAGCGACATCTTTATTATTGACAGTTGATTAAATGGTGAAAAAATCATCCATTGTGGATATAATGATGATCTTCGTTTTTCTTGACAACTATATTCTCAATACATATACTTCAAAATTCTGACAATGGCAGCTCATTCGTATACTATTCCAGATCTTGATGATGATGATGATAATGAAACAGCAGCACCTAATTTATTTGCTAAACGTATGAAAACTGATAATTCAACAGTAACAGTAAATGAAAATGTAACAATTCCATCGACTACAATTACTAATACAGAACCACCAAGTAATTCTCATCTTTTTTTATACAATAATAATCTTTAATTTTCTTATTTAGTTACAGTATCATCTCCTCGTCCACCACCACCACCATCTTCATCCTCACTACTTGTTCATTCTCGTCAACGTGGAAATCCTTTATTAAAACATTTTCGTCAAGTTAAATGGGAATATAGTGATATGATATTAGGTGGTGCTGATTATTCTATGAGTCGTAGTTCATGTGCATTATTTTTATCTCTTCGTTATCATACATTAAATCCAAATTATATATATGATCGTCTTAAAGCAAATAAATTACCATATCAGCTAAAAATTTTACTTATACAATGTGATACAACTGATCCATCACAATCATTAAAAGAATTAGCACGTCTTTGTATTCTTTATGATTTAACACTTTTGGTTAGTTGGACTGATGAAGAATCAGCAAGATATTTGGAAACATACAGAATTATGGAAGGTAAATCAGCTGAAACTTTAATGGACACACAACAACATCAATCAACAGATTATTTAACAAAACTTATTGATGTCATGACACAAGTTCGTTTCTTACTATTTAAATTCGAATTATATCAATTTACAAGAAAACGTTTTTTTCTCTTTCAGGTTAAATCAGTTAATAAAACAGATGCTCAAACATTATTACATGCATTTAATTCATTGGAAACATTATTAAATGCATCAAATGAACAATTATGTGTTTGTCCAGGTTTAGGAACATTAAAAGCTCAAAGATTATATCAAGCATTTAATCAACCATTTAAACGACAAAAACAAAAACAAAAACAAAATATAAAAATAAATAAAGAAGAAAAAAATTTTGATGACGAACATTTAGATTTACCTAATATTGATGATGATCTTTAAATAAATAAATGAAAGAAAAAATAGTAACTATATATATATTTTAGATGAAAATTGGTGATCATATTTTAGTTGATGGAAAATCTCCAGCAACAATTTGTTATATTGGTTTAGTTGATGGTCATCCAGGACAATGGATTGGTATTGAATGGTGGCATCAAGAAGGAAAACATAATGGAACCTATAATGATAAATTTTATTTTCAAACAAAACATCAATTGACAGGATCATTTATTAGACAAGAAAGAATACAATATGGAAATTCATTTACTCAAGCTATTTGTAGACAATATGTTAAATCATTTTCAAATGAAAATATTACAGATGATATTAATTATTCATTATTCGGTTAGTATAGAATTATTTAACTGTGTACATCAGATTTAAGAAAATACAGTATTTTATTGAAAATTGATTTGAAGATCAAATATTCAAGCAGAATAGTATGTCTTAACTATAAAAGACAATTTTATGTTCTACTTGGGAAAAATCTTATACTAAGATCAGATTAGTATATACAATAAGATTGTTTCTTTCCTTTCAAATTAAGTTAATAGTCAAAATCAGTCATGCAGAAGTGTATGTAAACATTGTCTTAGCAGCAATTCTATTTAGTATACTATGCTAAAAGAACCAATCTTAGTGGTAGATAATTGAGTACCCAAAAAAGAGAATATTCGCTGTTTTAGTTCTATAATAATTATGTTATTGTCAATCTTGATATTATAATAAGTGTTCTTTATTGAAAAAGTAAAGCATATATAAATATTTAGATGGTCCAATTTTCTAACGTTTAAATTCAATCAAAATAAGAAAAACTAAAATTTAAAATAACTATTACAAGTAGATAGTTCACTCTAACTGAATGACGAGGAAAGTATATGAACAGTTCCATTGACTTCCAGTACATCTTTTACTCATAATTAGGCATCAGCAATATAAATCTAAGTATCAACGAACAAATGGAGCTGATTGGCTACCATTTTACTAAACTTTTGACTTCAAGAAAAAAGACACCCATTAAAACTAGATATTCTAGTCATTAGATTGTCCCCAAAACGGATACTCATGTATCGTCAGAAAATCTACTGGTTTTGAAAATTAAATTCTATCTTATATTTTTAGGTAAACAATATTCTGATTATGTTGTTGATTTATCATCAATAATTCGTATAGATTTATCATCTCAATGGGTAAATGAATTTGATAATAACGCTGATATATATAATAATCTTCGACAAATAAAAGAATTAAATATTCGTCAAAATTTACTTAAAAATTGGTCAGAATTATGGATAATATTAGAAAAAAATTTTCCACAATTAGAAATTTTAAATGTTAGTAATTCTCGTATGAACTTTGATAAATCATCAGCATTAAATAAATATATTCATATAACACAATTAGTTGTTATTGATACAGATAATGATTGTGATGTATTTGAAAATCTATGTAAACATTTTCCAAATTTAATAAATATTCATCTTGATTTAAATCGATTAAGTTTTATATCAGAAAATTTTATTAATCAAATACAAAATTTAACAAATTTATCATTATCAGATAATCCAACATTAAAATCTTGGGATCCATATGTAAATCGATTAGGAAAACTTAAATATCTTGAAGAATTAATTCTTAATAATTGTGGAATTGAGGAAATTAAATTTCCTCAAGAAAGTTTGTATTGATCGTTTTTGTTTTTCTTTCTTTTCCAATTCTTTATTTATTTTTAAGATCAAACAATTGAATTATTTCCTTCATTAAAATATCTTTATATGTCTGATAATAATATTTCATCATATACATCAATAAATGAATTAACTTGTTTATCATCATTAATATCATTTAGTATACTTCGAAATCCAATTTATCCATTGAATCAAATTGAATGTGAAACAGCTAAACAAATGATACTTGCACGTTTACCAAATTTAACACATTTAAATCGAGTTTTTATTAGTCGAGATGAAAGACGTGGAGCTGAAATTGATTATTTACAACGTTATGCTCACGAATATTTTGAAAATAAATTAGATTTTCTTAATGAACATAAACAATATAAAAAATTAATTGAAAAACATGGAGAACCGTTAAAATCAAATCCCAATGAGGTTAGAATATTTTATTATTTTTGAAATTATACAAAAAATTCTATACTTTAGTTGGTGTGAGGGTAAATGAGCGAAATGATTTTTCTTGATGAGGGTATAGACGAAGAGTGAGGGTGGGGGTAAAAGGTGTTTCGCAGTTGTGACTTTCGCGCATTCTTTTTCGCTGATATGGTTTTCGCTCAACGGACACCATATCAGCATCAACACATCACAGTGCATAGCTCTCAGATTTTGAAAATTTTATAGATCTTCAACATGCGCCGAAAAGAAAGGTGCACTTTAAAACCAGGGAAGGTTTCGTAAAACATCCAAGATACGTTCAAATCATTTTTTAATTGACAAGAAATTGAAGGATTTCGTAGGTCTCGCGAAACCCTAAAAAGGTTTCTTGTCAGTTAAAACATGATATGAACGCATCTTGGATGTTTAACAAAATCTTTTTAAGGGTTCCGATTTCCTTGCAAAAATAGGTTGGTAGGACGCCTTTTTTTTCAGTGTACAGGCAGTTCCAAGTGCTTTCGCGATAATCATTAGTGCAGTAATGTAAGTTAATCGATCGACCAGCTCATACACAGGTAACATTTGAAGTATGAGCCATTTGTATGAAACTACAAAATACGTTTCGAATAATACCAATCTTAATACATACATCCACTCAGTATCTAACATTTATAAATAACTCGAGGAACTAGTTTTAAACGAAGTTTGTATAACAAATAGTAATTAGTTTTTCACGCCACTGTTAGTCTTTATTAATCCAATCTCTTAGAGAAAAGCATAAATAATAAGGCTCTGCATGGGACGACAGTCTTTCAACAAATTTTCTAAAAAAAGATGCGATACAATATTTTTTTTGAGAGTTTCTATGAACTAAATATCGCTTTTTTATGTAAGTAATTTATTCTGGACGTTGCGCTGATTTTTAAGAAATCTTTTGGAAATTGGCGACATTTATTAAAAGTGGGCCCCGACGTCTAGAAGAAATTATCTACATGAAAAAGCGACATTTAGCTCATAGAAACTCTCAAAAAAAAATTGTATCGCATCTTTTTTTAGAAA